GCAATCCCGCGCCGAAATTCAAGTCCTGCTCTGTGTTCTCTGCTAATAACCCGACTGTGAATGATGCGAGCGGCGTCACTATGTTGTCACTGAGAAGCTGCAGCCGTGGCGGTGAGGATGTTTGGTGTGCCGGCCGGCAGAACAACAACAATGCGCTAAATGTTTCTTTTCCCCTCATTTTTTCCAATCGCTCTGATTGGTTGAACTCTTCATCTTTTTCTGTTGCTTGTTTTGAATACTGCACGTGGACAGAGGCGTCACCAGGTTTTTTTGCGTAGTTTAGAGTGACAAATTGTACCAGCGTACTTTGAGGTCAAAATGCGTATCCGCTACACAAAATGCGTACAGGTTGGCAGGTCTGCAGTAAAGAGAAAAGAATGATCCAAGCGCATGTCGGCGCACGTGATTAACCGCTCATGTGACGTGCTCGTACCACTAGGCGCCATTCACACAGAATTCGCTTTTGTGTTGACAAAGATGCAACGCGGGCAGTGGAATAGGAAAAACATGCAAGAAGATGGGAGTGAACTTCTTTTAACTTGAATTTTCTTTAAATAGAGGGTTAATAAAGAAAAAGTTTACATTTTTAAGTTGACTAGTTAAAAATCGTAAAAAAAAAAAAAAAAAGAATTGTTCTGGAAAATTTTTTTTAATTAAGATTTTAATTTTTTGCCAAATCGCCCAGCCCTAGTAGATACTGACATCACCCTATGCTGGAAGATACATTATTTACAGACATTTTCAGTAATATGTTTTTTTTTAAGCTGACATTGGAGGAAAGCTTAACGCATCAGTTAAAATGTTCAATATTATAAATTCATAACCAATATTGTTTTACTTTTTAGCTGCACTGTTACCTTAGCAACATGTTGGAGTGTTCCAAATCAGACTCTATATGGGTCATGATGTCGCCTTAGACACTAGCTGCCTATGTAAGCAGTTGGCTAGGTTTTAGAACAGAAGTAGTCACTACATATATGTGTGTGTGTGTGTGTGTGTGTGTGAGAGAAGGAGTACCAGTGTGTGTTCTCCTGTGTCGCTGTAATTCATCACTGCGCGTGAACCTCTTCCCACAAAACATCCAGGTGCAGACAAAGGGTCTCTCTCCCGAGTGCCAGCGCAGGTGAGCTCTCAAGTGAGACGTCTTCCCGTATACCTTCCCACAGCCGGCTATATGGCACACGTGCTGTTTCTTCTTGCCCACGTTAGATCCCCTACAACATATAATTAGAAATGTACAGTCAGAATGGAAATATATTACACACATCCAGTGATGAAGACGTGTAGTAAAACAAAAAGTGTAGTGTATTACATATATATTATTACAATATAAACACAGAAATTGTACCGTGTCTCAAAACTAAGTGAGGATACGTGCTAAAGGAAATGTGCTCTCAGCAGTGTGATCTCACCTCCCGCCTCCCTCTTTGCAGTTGGGGCAGGTGCATGCGACCCTGCGCAGACGTTTGCCCTCCTGGTTCAATCCCTCCATCTCCTCCTCCACTAAACGAACACGAAGGTGAGAGAGGTCATTGGCATTCAGCGTAGAGCTACTATCCAGAGGCCACTCCTCCGAATCAGGCTCCTCCTTAATCTGAATATCTATAGAGTATAGTATGATCAGCGTTACACTAACAGCACTGCATCATTACCGCTAAACACATCTTCCCTCTGCAATGTCACTCTAAATGATTCTTCTGGACTGCTTCATCTAGTTTACTTTAGATGGTCACCTTCACAGGGCCCTATGATTTCCATGATGTGGAAGACATGGATGGAATCCAGTCAAAAAAATTGATTTTAGTGTATAATGTTGAATTTCACAGAATTTGGGTAAATAAATGTGTTTACAGTCCACATGAACTTTATAAAGCTGCCTTGATTTTATTAAATAAAACTATCGTCAGATACGCACAAACTCATAGATCTTTATTAAAACCCTCCAAAATAAAAGATAAATAAAAGAAATTGACAGAAATGTTGCTGTTGTACAGTAGAATGAAAACATTATTTAAGGACTACCACACAATTGTAATCTAATCAGTAAATCTCTGTTGTGTAGCACTTTGTTTGCCATAAAAGAAAGGGACTGTTTAAATGTGATTAGTTCAAAAGATTAGTTGAATTTGTATGCACTGAATTAAAAAAAACACAACACAATTTCTGAAATAAATAATAAAAAGTAATAATAATAATAATAATAAAAAAACATCCCACAGGGTACTAATATTGTTCAAATGTTAAGAAATTATTAAAATACTTTGTATGAATTCAATTGATTAGATATCCCTTTTGATTATTTTAATTTTAACAATTAAACCATTAAAATGGGCTCTAGACAAATTAAAATGGAAAACACTAATTGAGTAAAAAAATAAAATAAAAAGTAATTTGCGAAAAAATAAATGAAAGCCGTCATAGGGCCCTACATCTACCTACATGTTTTTCTCCCCTATTAAGAAGATTACTACAGACATTTTCATCAGACTTCCTGAAACAGGAGCTGCAGTACCTCCAGTGCTGTCTGTGTCCTCAGACTGCTGGAACTGAATGCCTGCCTGGCCCACAGCGTTCACCGTCACCGACTGCAGGTTAGGCATCTGTCCGGAGGTCAGGCTGACTGCTGCACCACCCTGACCCAGAGACAGCGTTTGCACCGGGGCCAGAGTAATCTGCTGAGCTGGAGCCGTCTGGAGCTGAAGGTTCTGGAGGTTCTGAACTCCTTGGACCTGCATGGACAGATTAGTGGAATGTAAAGTAATTAACTATTTTTCATAACATTTTTAAAGCACAGCAGGCTTGTCGTCTTAATTTAATTTAAAAAGTTACTTTAAAGAGCCTGTCTGCATTCCTGCAATTCATCCACACTGTTAAAGTTCCTCACACGAAAGACGATAACTATTCAGTATTAATAATTGTTCTAATTCTTTGAGAACAAGGAAGTTCATACACTACAACTACAATGATAAAACACAAAGAAAATATATTGTTGGAATCACTCTAAGAACATTTTTTTTCTACTGATGAACGATAAAAAATTGACAGCCAATGAAAATCCAAACGAGTTTAAAGAACTTGCACATTTCAAGCAGCAGATGACAAAGCTGTTGGTGTGGATGCTAATAAATGTCTCGTTATTGGTGTGGCCTTACGTCACTGTGTGCCATGTTTGAGCAAAAAGCCATAAAAGATATCACCAAAAATCACACAGTAACCAATCACAAAAGTAATGTTTTCTACAGATTTATGCAAGTTGTGACTTTTTACTGAATTTCAAAATCAGTAACATCAAACATGATAAAGGCTAATCAGTTTTTGTGATGATTCATTGTAAATGGTAAGCCATGCACATGCATATATATGCACATATAGCAGAATCCCCCAGCTAATGAAGCCATGACACTCCTAACAAACTACCATGATGGTCTCCCATTCTATGCATTAAGCCGCAAATGTCCTGCTAGTCCAATGTGCCTGGTAAATAAAGGTTGTTGTACATTGGGCTGAGAGAGTTAGAGAGATTCTTGCTCTTGAACTAGGTCAGGTGTTGTACAGGGGGATTGAGGACCAATTTATCATGTCATTACATAGTTTCTCTGAGAGCTTTAGTTCCAAACATGAGCTCAGATGAGAACTCCCCTGCAGATTGCAGCTTAGTTATAGTTGCTGACAGATATTGTGTTAAATAAATAGTATGCACTTAAAACAGCTACAGTAGGCAACTGCTGACTAATGTTGTATTAACAAAGCATTCTGGACAAGAAACTTGCGGAAGCAGACCGCCTCCCACCTTTCAGACGACCCTGTTAACTGCACTGAGAGGTCTGCATTCTAGGGAGGAAACGGGTTCACAAAAGAACAAGATGTTCAAAGTGATGCCACAACGGTGCATGTACACGGGAAGATCCAATAACAATGAACACGTCCTCATCTCTTGCTGTTACTATGGTGACTGATGCAAAACATGGAGCCAAGGAACACGGATAAACCCATCCTGCGTATGAAAATGATTTGAATTTAGTCTGAAATACTAGTGAACATGTGACCCTCAAAACAATCCAATTTTCCACTAATATTTGCCTTTTAGCAAAATAGGGCTGGTAATTTAACGCGTTAATTAGATTAATTACTGTGAAAAAATAATAACGTGTTAAAATTATTAACGCATTTAATGCACTTGCCCCGCCCCAGACCTATGTGGATCATCTGACATTTCATACAGTTGATTGATGACAAATATGATGCAGGGCAACAACTCACTGCGTGATGGAGCCTAGAGAACGTAGTTAGAATTAGTGGTTGACCGATATTGGTTTTTTGACAGCCGGTGCTGATGCCAATATCTTGGAAAGCAGGGTGGCCGATAGCCGACATAAATTGTTTTGAATTTTAATTAATATTTAAGAAATTTGAAATCAGATACCCGTGCCGTGGAGATGCAGGACACCCGACTCGTCCTTCACCGCCTCCCACCTTTCAGACGACCCTGTTAACTGCACTGAGAGGTCTGCGTTCTAGGGAGGAAACGGGTTCACAAAAGAACAAGATGTTAAAAGTGATGCCACAACGGTGCATGTACACGGGAAGATCCAATAACAATGAACACGTCCTCATCTCTTGCTGTTACTATAGTGACTGATGCAAAACATGGAGCCAAGGAACACGGATAAACCCATCCTGCGTATGAAAATTATTTGAATTTAGTCTGAAATACTAGTGAACGTGACCCTCAAAACAATCCAATTTTCCACTAATATTTGCCTTTTAGCAAAATAGGGCTGGTAATTTAACGCGATAATTAGATTAATTACGGTGAAAAAATAACACGTTAAAATTATTAACGCATTTAACGCACTTGCCCCGCCCCAGACCTATGTGGATCATCTGACATTTCACATGGTCCAAAAGAGTATATGTAATAAATTTTATGTTGAATCAAACAAAATATTTCTTGCTGAAGCTGCTTTTTTTAATGTCTGTTTGATGCTTTACACAACAATGACTTTAAATTATTTTTTGGGAGTAATTTCTCAGCCAAATTTGATGTGATTAATTTTCGATTAATTAAATCGCCACATCATGTAATTAATTAGATTAAAAATTTTAATCACTTACCATATATATACAAACTAGGGATGCACCGAAATGAAAATTCTTGGCCGAAGCCAAACAAAATGAAACACTGGGCCGAAGGCCGAATACTGAACACGTTTTTGTTGTATTTTTTCCCCCGTATTTTGCCAATTTCTTCTCACCATTGCATAAATTAAACAGCTAAAATGTGATTTTTACTGTTTTGTCTTACTTTTCAAAGAAAAAAAATCAATTATAAAACAACAATTTAAAAATATTTACTTAACACTGAACATTTTTTAACATTCTAGCAGACATTATATCAACAAAGCACAATTTAACTTCAAATTAGTAAGTTAGTAAAATAATATTTTTTGGCCATTTTTGAGACTTGAATCAGGCATGTATTTTTTACTGTATTTTTCAGCGCAGATTTTCTTGCGCTTTGGACTTTGAACCCTGGCTATAAGCAGATAGAGCCGCGAGCTCATGCAGCGCTGTCAGAATATATGCAATTCATGCGTGTATTATGAAACACAACGTTCTGCAGTTTATTTACTGATTGTTTAAGGCCATTTCGCGATTTCAATCATCATACAGTAAAAAGCAACAACCACCCTTCCTCTTCTCATCGAAGACCTGCGATGCAGTCCTAAGCAGTCTCTCGCTGTCGGTGCTTGTAATGATTTTTGCGACTTTCTCTGACAGTTTTAAATACTTTTACACTGCAGACATGTTTGCTGCATTAGTGCGCGCCTCTATTTGTTCATGTGACATCATAGTTTGGTACAATTTATTCGGTCTTTTCGCCTATTAACTGAAATGATTCGGCCGAAAATAGCAAAAAAAAAAAAAAAGCTCTTTCGGTGTATAATTTCGAAATAATTTCGGTTGCCGAACATTCGGTGCATCCCTAATACAAACATACACACATTTATACATAAATATATAAACATACTATGAAATGGGGAAAATAAAGTACGTTTCAAATATATCTAAATAGAATGTAATTTGTGAACCTGGGTTTTTTTTTTGGGGGGACATTTTTTAATCACTGGAAGTCTCTTATTGGTGGCAAAGAAGCACATCATTCAGCTTTTGCTGTATTTCTGTACTAGCTTAAAAATTTTAAGCCAATTTTGGAAATTTGCAGTGCACTTTTTTTTCTTCATTTGTGTTGCACAATCTCATGATTTTTTTTTTTTTCCTGGTTAGTGTGATCAAATTTTCAAGAGTTTAGGTTTTGCTTTGTTTTCTGAGTTGTGTTTGTGAAATTATGAGTACCTATACCTGGAGAGACAAACATTATGATCATAAACTCTACACAAGTATCCAGTCATGTCTTCTGTGTTTTCTGTACTGCTGCGAAATGCCATTAGTGAGGGCTATATTTATTTATTTTTTAAGAAATTAAAAAAAGCTGAAAAACTGGAAATACAAATTTAAATAAATTACCCATTTTTTATGTTTTTGAAAGAAATTTATTTTGTTCATCAAGTCACTAATTTATTTTGACCAAAGGTACAGTAAAAGGGTAATATTGTAAAATATTATTACAATTTAAAATATCTTTTCTATTTGATTATACTTTGTAACACAAGGCTCGAAATCGCATATGCTCCCAAAATTTAATCTGTGCGACCTCAAAATATAGTTGGGAGCATTTGTGCGAGTGCATATAATTGTTGTCGTGCGACCTGTTTTCATTTCTCTAAAAACGTTCAGAGTATGTGCCTCTGAGTGCTATCAAAAACGTTAGGCTACATAACCAATTAAACTTCACCTTTACATTCTTAACTTCAATGCAGATTTTAGATTGGTTAATATTAGCCGTCAATCACCCAGTCACAGCTTTCCAGTGTCAGGTTACAGGGAGCTAACTACCGCGGGGAATGTAAAGGGCTGAAGAAGAGGGAAAATGAAAAAGAACACTGACAGATTTCTTTCGTAAACCACCTAAAGTTACAAATAATGGTGCTGGTGATAGCGATCATGTGGTGAATGTTGATCCACCAGCCGAAAAGAAGGCGTACAGTTTTCGGAGAGAATGGTTGAAAGACTTTGCTATGAAAATGCACTGTGCTCTATGCGCTGCATTCACTTTAAAGCCTGTGGGACGGAGTTTGCAGGTAACAGCGTTCTCCACTGAATCTACACATTTCGTAATTGATGTTTTACGATGTGCGATTTGACATTATCGAGTATATTGCAAAATCCAAACAAAACACACCTACAGAGTGCACGCATACATGACGTGATGAAGTCTAGTAGGTTAGAGTGCGTTTTTTTCACTGCATGATTCAGTCTATTAAAATGCATCACAAAATTCAAGATATGGGGCCTTTATATCATTTCATATAGTTAATCAATACCATAAGAAGAGTGCCATTTTTTTCTCCAAAAATCAGGATTACAAATGTGATACTGATTTTATACAACTGTTCAATAAACCAGAAGTTAATATTAAGAGACTTACGTTTTAGACAGCATATTGCCTGTTTTTGCCAACAAAAATAATTCCAAACAAAGCCACAGCACTGTTTCTCATCTCGGAGCAACATGACGGTGTTTCGCTCTTGAATGAATCAACCGTTTAAATGATTCGGTTCAATCGCAATGACTAACTTATCAACAGTGACTTGCTGCCACCTACTGGCGGTTTTAATTTCACATTTAAAGTTTCAAATATTTCAATTATCAGTGTTCAACATTTTATGTTTACAATATTACAACATTATTTATGCATGTGTAACTGCAAGTTAAATGCATTCATGTCCTGCATTAATCTGTGTGTAAATGCATCTAAATGCCACTTCAGATGCAGCTTCTGTGTTTCCTCTGCATTGCAAAGATTAATTTTGTTGATGCTTTAATTTGCTTTATAATAACAGCCCAAATGTCTTATTATAGCCTAATTGACTGATTAAATATAAGAATTTGATTCAAATTATAAAAAATGGCTTTAAGGTAAATATGACCATAAAAGGTAAAAATCTATTTAAACTTATTGGTAAAGATTCATTTCTATCACTGCTGTGAACTGACCACCACACAGAACATGAAGAATATCAAGAACTTTAGGAGTTAGCTGTCCACGGTAGTACTTAAGATATCAGCACAGTAACACTCAGTCAAATTATCGTTATCGATAAAAATCACAGAAAATAGAGATATAATTTCGTCAATATCGCACACCCCTAGCCGCCAGCCGTTCTGTGCAACTGGCAGAGCTGAATGTAAAATTTAACACCGCATACACCATCCTAACCCACGCCAAAGAAGAGCTTAACTTTAGGTTGTTTACAAAATAAATCTGTCAGTGCGCATTAGCAATTACTCCACCGGCCTCGCTCCGTTCCCACAGCTCTCGGCCCCGCCCCTCTCGTCACAATCTCCATCTATAAAATCAAACCTATCATGATCAATAAGTATCGCTTTTTATTTCTCCTCTTTCTTTAGTTAAATTATGTCTGAATTTATTATGTCTGTATAGGTCTTTATTGGAGTTATTTTAATACTTCAACAAACTAAATGGAAATGGAAATGAAATTATATATTGAATTTATAAATGTGTGTGTGTATATATATATATATATATATATATATATGTATGTGTGTGTGGGTGTACATACATAT